CTATGCGGTTTTTTGTGGCGCCTACTCGGTCAGATTTTGCTCCAACCACTTGGGCTCTACGTAACCCCCCAGAGGTTCATTGAACGTCATTCGTGGATTAGATCCCTCAGCGCGCCGAAAATGTGGTTGGCATCACCTCTTCTGCCTCTTCACACCCTTCCTGCGTGGCCGTCCAATGACGTCATCGAAAACGCACCGCCCTTGAGCCATCTCCTCAAGAGAAGAGTGTGTAAGGCGAAGCAAGAGTGCATTTGGCGCATGAAAATTTCTGAAAACTTAGAATCTCATCAACGATCCCTCCTTCTCTCGTCTGCCCTTTTTCCCTTCTTTCTCAATCCCAACCTTTTCATGTCCTTTCAATTCCTTAACTCCTAGAGCGAATTTTCGATTCTATCTACGTTTAGCTATACAAAACTTTAAATCTACCTAGCCAGCGTTTGCAGTGATCGTCCTCAAATGCACCCGATTCTCTTGATGGGAAAATCCTATATCAATAATTTTTCAGTTATTTTTTCACCATAGCTGGCTTTGGGTCATTTGTTTCTGCATTATTAAAGAAAACATTTAAATTACATAGAAGTTGCACCAGCATACCATTCCATTAGCAACTTCCCTTGTACATATTCCTTAATTTTATGTGAATCTTTTTGCCTGAATACTTTCAAAGGAATGTCTACCTGATACCCATACTGTGCAGCTCTGTATCCGTGACGTTTGATACGACTCTTTTGACCGGTCACCTCTTCGACCTGAAAACAATGCAACATTAATATTATACTTTGAATTGTTTTTCTTCGATATACTGAGGGCGGAAGTGGTGTAGTGGCAAGTGGCACGCTTACCACGCGAGCGGTCCGGGGATCAAATCCTGGGTCGTGAGTCGCCCGGGCCAACCAAGCCTTCCATCCCTCCGGGGTCGGTTAATTGGTACCAGACTTGTCTGGGAGGATAAAAACACTGACTTGTACATCGGCTGGCCCCCGCAAGTCATTGTATAGGCCACATCGCATTCAAACGCCACTACGAATGTACAAATGGAAGTAGAATGCGTGCCGCATCCCAAAAAGGGATTGATCAACGGCAAATGCTTTATCCTTTTTTATCATTCACTTAGGCTGATGGCCCGCTAAGCGAAAGGTGCGGGTTCGGGTCCTGCCTGGGACGAAAGTTTTGTTCACACCTCGGCGTTCTTGCGGAGTAATGTGAATTCGAACAACAAACGTACCACGGTGTGGCCTCAAATTAAGATGTCGGGAGTTTCACTTCGAAAATTTCGAAATTTCATTTAAATAATCTGAAAAGTATTAAATCTTACAGCATTCTACTGGGATCCCTCAAATCCCTCTCTGAATTCCCTTTTATGAAGCAGAGCGGTACTAATTATCACAGGACTAGGCTGTGCAAAATGCCTTCGCAACTCCATTAATTTTTTCTTACAGCGAAAGAGAAGAGAAATTTCAAGAGCTATCAGTTCACTGTCATTTCCAACGGCACTTCGAAGACTTTCCCAACCGATCCCAATCACAGAGCAAACAATTCTAATGCTGTGGGCGACACGTCTTAGGTGGACTCCACAGAATCGTCTGGAGACAGGACCATGTGCTAATAACGATCCCATTCTTTGCATTGGGTCCTCCATCGGCATGCCACTCGTCAATCAACGTAGTTCCGATCGTTGCGGTAACCGTTATGTTTTACGGTTCCGTCTCAGTGCAATTTTGTCCAACATTCTCAATAGGTTAAAAAATGCAGTGATGGATCACCAACGTCCGTTTCTCAACGTTCTTCAATCCTCTCAAAAAAGAGCGCAGGCAGCTCGGTCACTGTGTGAGGTCCCCGCCCACTAAGGAAAAGGTCCATCGTTTTCTATTGTTGATTGAAAAACAAATCAATTGTAAATGGTGTCCACATTGCGATTAACACAGCAAAAATCATAATAATTGCGCCCTCGTGATTAATACAACCAATAAGGCCAGGCTAAGAAAACTAGCCGTCCCAGACTGATGTAAAAGCCTGAATGTTTGAAGTTCAGGATCAACGGACAAACAGCTCAACCCTTGCTGTCGTTTCTTTTACTCTCATTCTGATGCTTTTGCCACGAACTTGTTGGCTGCACCTAATGAGCAGACTCACATCAATCCATTTATTTATTTATTGCATGTGGTTTTGGATTCTTATTCTTGCTTATTTATTCCTCTTGGAATTCTTCAAAATTCTTTTCAAATTCTTTTAAACTTTCAAATCTTGCAGTGAAAGTTTCTTTTCCAAATGGTTCACATCAAGGAAAACAATCACTCTGGATTGACAAATCCTCCCGCAACGCTTCAGCCAATTAGAAACCGTCAGTATTAGCCGTTACAGTATTAACGGAGCGTCAAGCCAAAGTGTCATGCCACACGTTTACCAGGTCACGGCACGACCTGAAAGCAGCATCAACCAGGGTTCGAGACCTGAGCCTGTGGAAAACCGTAATCTCACTTTTCGCAGAAATTTCTTTATTTGATGCCGATATACAAAGTAAGGCAAATTCCTTAGGAATCATCAGACCCAGCGCCAATCGTCGAAGAACCTCAGAATTCGCCGAAATCTAGATCTAGTGGGTACACAGATCGATTAAGTGAGCCCACAAATCTCAAAGATCGCCGTATTCAGCGCAGTAACTGTCTCAACTATCTACAACTATTGTTCGTCATCAGCCTTCTTTGTGCTCGGCAACCAAGTCCGTCCGCAATGAAAACTCAGCACAATACCGCGAGTAATCAGTTGCACCAAAAGTCGTACCTATCGATATTTTCGGTCTTTGTTGAGTGAGGCGCTGGTTTGCAAAGATCCAGGTGGCGCTTTATCTCAAAGAGATACTCAATGTGGCATGATGTTGGTGCTACAGATCACTGCGTGACCTATGGTATGGTGCTAAGTCTGCATTGTAGGCGCATCTGATCCGCATCTGGATAGAAAATGCATAGTAACTCCCAGTTAGGCTGAAATCAGCGTAAGGAATGAGGACAGGTAAATTTCAAAGTGTATACATTAAGCGTGGCACCTTTCAAGAAGTAGATAAGCGAGCGAATAAGTGGTAGTCCCAACATTGGGTGAATATGGTGCGGGTGCGGAAGGGTAGCTAATAGGCAATAATTTAGTAAGTTTTTTGACTTTTCTTCTCGTCATATAGGCTTAATCAGTCGTGCCCTGACAAAATTCCAAGTAGAAGAGACTGCAACTTTGTTCTTCTTTAGCAACTCAGATGTCTACCCTACCTTTAGCGGTTGGCGTTTGTGCGTATGGTTGGCCGTGATTTAGAGTGATGCCCTTTACCGAACGGGGAACAGAGCATTCCATAAATGGGTTTTGGTTGCTGTTAAATGGTTTCAAAGGTGGGAGTGGCCACTGTGATCCCACTTCGTATCAAGTGTACCACTCAAAATAGCTACCCATTTCTCACGGTCCACCTTGTCGACCTAGCTCAGGCTCTGCTCACTCGTAGTCGAAAGTGTTAGTGCAGACGATAGCATGTATGTGAGTGTCAAAACGAACGGCTCGGTTTAGTATCGACTTCTTCACTTTGAAAGACGATTAGATTTCGTGAACCCAGTTTTCCGAGCACGGTAAAGTTATGTGTTGGCAAAAGATTACCGAAGGCTTGAAAAAAGCAGAAGTTTTCAAAAACTCGAACTAATAGTTACAATAATCGCACTGTCTGTCTGAGACTTTGTTTTCTGTGAGATGTAAGCAGCAGGCAGTCCACAGCCCCAGAAACACGACTATCACGTATGGAGAAAATATGTCCGAGTTTCCATAAGGCGGGGGATTTTTTAGGCGCTGCTCGAATGTGCCCGCTACCAGGAGAGGAACAATGATCTTCGTCACTGCACTTCCTTATGGGAAAAAACGATAAGTGGTAAGAAAAAGTCATACTTGAGCGTCAACACAAATTCGCACTCACTTTTCACCGCTCTTTTCTCTCATGCACGCACGCTTGCCTGGTTCGCTGTGTCACGTAGATGTGATAATTTGATACTTAGTCACATAGTCGTAAGCTGAGTAGACCCTTGTTAATTTATTCTTATGAGGCAAGCGAATTTGCATAGATGTGGAAATAAGGAATGTGGTGGTGCCCATGGCTACAGCCTGTTTCGGAAAAGTCGCGAGAAACTGTCCAGTAAAACTAACCCGAAAACGGGACTCTCTTTTTAAGCATCTGGTTCTCACATGTTCGGACCAGATTAATCAGCTAAGAAACAGAAGTAATGAATGAGTTCACCGAACTCGTTTGGCGGTACCGTACCAACACTCCATTCGAGCTGCTTCACTTGTGCTGCTGCTGTCAACGCAGATCGTTCAAATACCCAGTAAATAAGTGGGCGGATCGCTTTTGGGGACGGAGTGTTTTCAACTATGGGTGCGTGACCTATTCAATCGTGGCGATAGCTAGGTCGCCGCGCCAGCCGCCGCAGCCCGCGATGCGACGTCGGCCGTGGTTAGAATTCAGGGTTCTAGCATCGGGGATTGTAGGATTAGACGAAGTTCCCACTCGTGAAACACGGTATATGACCACTTTGAACAGGATACTTGTTCTTTTGCCCATGATTAATAACTAATTAATGTCAACTGGCGACCCTTAATGCCTTCCTCACATTCCGTCTGCGTTCTTTGAAAGCGTAAAGTATGTCTAGGCATCACTTCTCGAACCCCAGCAGCAACTTATGGTCAAGGACCTTTAAGTCAAGACCCATACAACAATCGCCGCACCACTTGCCGCGCACGACTTTACCCGCCGCGTGAGCGGCGTGATCTCATTATGCCGACGATTGAATTGACCGCCTCTCCCTTTTCGAGGAGCTGCTCAGCAACCAGCACACCGTTCGTCGAGGAAGCGCCACACCTCCTCGACAACCAAGTAACTTTTCGCATGGTGCTGTATGTGCTTCCCCGACGCACTCCCTCTTTATCGTAATCGCTGCCTTTAAGCACAGCTTAGCAACAATGCCTACGGTTCAGAAATGATCAAAGATGGTGTGCCTCCTGAAAAAAAAGAGGCCGGCGCTCATGTATCAGGGGGGGGGGTAGAATGGAAGAACATTTGAGAAGAGCATTCGAAAGCGGCTGAAGGAGGACTTAGGAGTAAGCCCTAGAGACGGGAGGAACGTCAGGGAGAATGAAAATTTGCTGACATGCTCCCCCAGAGCCATTTCTCCTTCAAGCTTATGGTTAGTCCCAGGTGTGTAAGCACTCACTCACTTGGACGTCCGCTCCCCCCCCCCCCAAGAACGCTTCTTCATTACGTCATAAGACCCTGCATTCTCGACACATAAGGCGGACTGGGGGCGATCACTTTTTCCTTCCAGGTCTCCGTAATTTTGGCGCACCCTGTAATTACGTGGCATCTTATAGCACTTGAATATGAGGATTATTACCTTATAGCTCTCACAGATTTCCTGGCAGGCTGAAGAGGAATTTGCGATTCAAAAAATCGATCATGTGGGATAGAGGCATTATTTTAATGTCGGACCATCCTATAGGGCGCCATAGAAATGAGCCGGAGCATTTTGCCCCGCAATACTTTCAGTTAGTTTAGCAAGCCGTACAAGAGAGCTCGAGACGATGAAAATCATGACTCTCCCATTGCCATCACTCTAGCGCAAACCCAACAAACTCCTTTCCCAGAGCAGCGACACGTAAACTCTGAAAGGCAAAAAAGGTGGTTCGTGGCCTCACCTACCTTCTTCATTTCATCAAATAGGTTGTGTGTGTTCATAACGCAGAACCGCAGTTCGACATCGAGGTGGGACTGTACATTCTGTGCGTAAGAGAATAGCAAGGGAACGACCACAATGGACGTCATTGTTGCCACAGCGGACACGGCAACTCCTGCAAAGGTTAACCGGCGATAGCCGGCAATCTCCTTCTCGTCCATTCTGACGTTGGCGGCCGGTGTACGCCTGCCAAAAGTCTTCTGAAACACAGTTCTTCATAATTGATGAGAAGCACCTCGATGGTTTCCGTAGCAATACAGTCGAGAAAAGGCCTCTAATTAGATTAACAACAGGTGGAGAAGTAAGGAAGGCTACTGAAACCGGAACGATGTTACAATTGAGCTGAATTAAAGCTACGAGTATAAAGAAGTACTAAGAAGAGTTCAAGAGGTGAGCACTGAAGCGACATGAGAACAGCTACCTAGCGGTTACGTCCCTTTTCAGTAACGTTCTCGGGTGAACATTACTAACACACGACCGCTCCGGCGTCCTTGAAGGCCTTGCTTAGCACCACCTAAGTTGAGCGAATGCAATCGTCTGTCACGAAATCAGTAAAACTTTTCTATCGTCTCCCAGCACAGTAAACTGGAAGCGAAACCGATGAGAAGCAAAAAAAGGCCAATTTGCTGCCTATTGCTGACATGTGGTGGCACGGCAATCGCTCTGCTCAGACAGTGGAACAAACGGCCTTCAAAGAATGAAAGAAGCCAATGAGGAGATTACGACGCGAGCATCACCAAAGAAATGAACTCGAACTGAAGTTTCAAGTCGAGAAAAGCATACACCGCAACAATTAGCACTTGGAAAAAGCTGCTCGAGCTCGGAGAACAACGTCTCTACTCCAAAGAAATGAGAAGCGAGTTGGATAATAAAGGCATCGAAGAGGGGTCGCACGACGAGGTCGAAGGTCGAAGAAGGATAACCGTACCTACTGGAAAGATAAGGACCCGATAAAGGTGCGGATCGACACGCAATTAGTAGCGAACGACATGCCTCCAGCGATCTTTGTTACGGTATGCCCACCTGACCACTTAAATGTTTGTCTCTAGGCGCTAAGCAGAGAGAGCGTCCGCGTTGAAAAGGGCAGCACCGATGAAGCCCGTTTCTCGTGGTTTCTTCTTCATCCCAGGACCACTGGCCACCTCTATCGTGACTCTAATAGGCTTTCCCTCTGATCGTAAAGTTTGCATTCAAGGTATAGTTGCAATATCGAACTCGAGTAGAATTCACCATCGCACAATGGTAAGGTTTGAGGCGAAACACTGCTTTCTATTATCAGAACCGGTCTTGAAAGTCCTTCAGCGAGAACCTTGCTTTCTCGCTGTTGCTTTCGATATCAAATGCATTATAAATCTGTCAGATTTCCATATTTCCTCCACAAAGCATCTCATGGCAAACGTTCGCTCGTAATTTGACGAGGATAAAAACCGTTCGAAGGTGCCATTTGTTTAGAAGGCGTAACGCGGTGGACGTGACTGAAGTCGAAAAACCTTGAGAGGGTCGTGACGAAATCTCGTTTTCCAGAAAAAAGTTCGTCCAAGAACGCATGAAAGTTTACCCCAACAGAAAAAAGAGCTTCTCATTTTCTATGAACGAATTTCTGTCGAAAAAAGACAAGGTGAAATGTTTGAGTAATGAGAATTATAAAGTGAGAAAGGAAGTGCAAAAAGAAGTGACCACTGTTCTTGCAGGCGATTTGTGTTACTGAGACGTGAAACAGTTCCTCATTTTTCAAAGGCTTTTTTTCATCTTGGAACTGTGCTTGTTCTGAGGCACGTTCGCACTATCGTACTCTCGCAACGAATGCAGCGTCCGCTGAGCGTGCAGTTGGCGGACGGGCACCTGATGTGAGCTTTCCTAAACAATCTGTGGCCGAGTCGGAGTACCTTGCGTGGCTTACTTCCGGATTGCCTTTCATTCTGGAAGCCGCCCTTGCTGGTGCTTGCTGTTTCGTGGTCCATCGCAATCTCCTGTCCTGCCAGTCGTGAATGTGCTTATTTCAAGCGCTCCAAACGGACAAATACACCATTTGTAATGCTCACACCCTGTGAGCTAATCAAAGGGAACCTAAAATTTGATGTCACTCGCTAATTTTATGCGCGTAAAAGTAAGTGGAGTTTAGCCAGAGTCAGCCGTGGCGTTCGGCCGATTTCACAAAAGTTTATGACTCCCGTCCTCCAGAGGGCTTCGATACGATCCCCTATCAGCACACCTCAGGGGATCACCAACTTGACTCCTGCTCCTTTTTTATAGTCGTCAAACCCAATTACTACCTCCAACTCCCCTTCAGGAATCGCTAGAACCGCAAACACTCCCGTCTGGATGGGCTGCATGGACGGTTGTTCCTGGTTCCAGCCGCTGCATCACAAAGAAAAGTCAATGCTCTTGAGCATCTTTTCTGGATCTACTGAAGCAGAGGTACTTTGGCATTTGGAGATTTGGTCCACATTATGAGCAAGACCAAATAACCTCTGTATCGATTACAACCTCACTTCACCTAGGAGTCGGTTCTGTTCATGTCAAAGATACTGTAATGAATTGTCGTGCATATGGATGGGCAAACGGCCACTCCAAGACGTGACGGGTACCCGACGTCGACCCACCATCATGAACACCACCTATAACGCCTATGGGGAAGTATTCAGCTGCATACTGGTAGGGGAAATTATGACGCCAGAACGGTGCTAAAAATGGCGCCACATTCGATTGGAGCACAGCTAACTTCTACAGCATGGGTTTCCAGGCAATTCGAGTTTTTGACCTATCTCTAAAAGTTGGAGCAGTCGCTGGTTATTAACCCATCGCGTACTCCTCATTCCTTGAATAATAAGAAGTCGTTCTCAGGATAGGTAACGACAGAAGATAATGGTGGCTCCAAGGAGACCCAGCAGCCTGGCTGCCCTCTCTACCACATGAGCGCCCCGACTTTTCGAAATTAGTTTGCGTACTTGACTTTTTCTGAAACTTCTGTAGTAGAGGTTATCCAAAGCTTTGGTTAGGAATAATTTATCACATTTTGACGTTGGTTCCATTTGATGCCAATTGAGCGCCAACGCGTCATGTTTTTCTTCTGTCGATCTTCATTAGAAACCTACATTGAGGTGTTAGTGTCTTCTGGTCAAAATAAAGACATTCACGTATATTCCTGGCGCCACCGCCGTGCCGAATGGCTAGCCAAAAAGCAAGAACTGTTGACACAGACAAATGAACCGTGGAGCAGTTTTTCACTTTTCTTGGCATCCAGGAGCCCGCTCGAGAAAAATCAGCCGCAATTCTAGACGTTTACACGTGCTCCTGTGTCGCGCCAAAAAACCGCTTTGAAATACTTAGGTCGTCCTGAAGAATGCTCAAGAGTCAACATCCCAAATCTGCTTGGAGTTTCCTCTCAATTCAAGAGTGCAATTCAAAAAATTTAAAAGTGGAAATGAATCTCAGGCCATTGTTGCCACACTTAGAATTAATGCGGAGCTCTTGAGGATGTTTATGGATATCGCACGTGGGGTATGCCCAAAGCAAAAACGCCGTGAAGCTCACTTTTTGCTAAAGCTCTGATCGGAAGTTTGGTGACTCGTGCCAGCAAAAAGAAGCTTGGTGAAGGATCAAACTTTCGTCCTGTCAAGTTCAACAATAAGGTTGGATTTGAACTTTCTAAAGGGGGTAGAACTTAGGGAACGAGGGGGAGGTTATATCGAGGGCTGAGAGGGGTGAGGGGTGGGTAGTAAAAAAATCTTAAAGTTGGAACAAGAGAAAGTTGAGCCCGGCTATTGGTGACCGAGAAGGGAACTGTAGAAAGCACAGAGGATAGATCATACTCCGCCCAATGTCATTATCGGTACTCCATAATTGAAGGCTGAGTCCTGGATCAAACGGATGTTTGTTCGTTTGTACAGGTATAGTGGGCAAAGAGTGTATTCGTCTCGGCAATTAAGAATATAGCTTAAGAATATGGAGTGGTCGCGGAAGGAGGCGTAAGAAGTTGATGGTCTTGGGTCGAGTGTACTTTATTTAGTAATAGCTTTAGCATTAGGGGACGACCAGTTCTCAGTTACCGGTTAGCCTGTATGCGGGGTTTCAACTTCCTCCGTCCCGTTTGCTATTGTTCTCGATCTTGGGAAGTGTTGTCCGTTGTGGCCACCCTATAAGAATTTTTGCGATTAGGTTGTTTTGGTGAGCTTGGGAATCTGCCCATCCCATGGACGTCGGAATTATGAAGGTTCAGCTTTCGTTGGCGACTCGACGTCAGGCCTGGAAGACGGCGTTCAATCGATGCCTGGGTAGAACTATTAATGGCCTTTCTTGTGATTTCGTTAGTGCCCAGGTTTCTCCTGCATAGCTGAGGGCAGGCAACACAGTTGAGTTGAAAAGAGCTCGCAGTTTGCGGTCCTTGGTGTTTTCTACAAAGCTTCTCATGGAGGAAAATGCAGCCCATCCAGCTTTGCGACGTATCGCTAGCTCTCCGCTAGAAGCGTGATAGAACGACAATTCGTTAGATCTTCTTTGTCGCCTTTCTTGAACAGCAGCACCGTTGAGGACTGCTTCCACGCCGTTGGAACCGCACATTCGGTCAGGTAGCGAGTGTACCTCCTTGCAAGTGCTCGATACAAAGGGGGCCCGCACGCCCGTAGGAGTTCTATGGTGATGCCGTCTTTTCCCGGCGCTTTGTCTCGAGGCATTGTTTCTATAGCATGGCGCACCTCCGATGTTAGAAAAGGCAGCACTTCTTCAGAACTGGTCTTCTTTCCCTGACGACTGGAAGTTCCGATCTGAAGAGGGAAGAGTAGAACGCTGACACGATTCCCTCCATTTCAGGTATGGAGCAGCAACGAATTCCATTTGCAGTTTTCAAACATGAAATCTTGAGACGACGCTCGGCAATCTTCCTTTTTGCCCTTTTCAAACTGTGCCTGCTCTCTGTATTAACTAAAAGTTCCAGTGATAACGAAGCGAAATACCGTCTATTTGTGGGTGGAGTTAATGGTGTTGGCCAGAGCCAATGCAGCACCTTCGTCGGCCTTGTCAAATCATGCCGATATTTGTGTTTACACTTCCTGCTTGAGACAGATTCTTTCCTTGGCAAAAGGCTTTATTTGCACCAGGAATTTTGGGCCTCTACTGATGAGAACTACTGAGCAACCCTATAACACAATGTAACTGAATAGCT